GCCCCGACCAACCAATTCTCCTGAATCGACGGGAGGCGGGTACAGACCTCGGATTTCGCCACGTGTTCGACGAAGCCGAACCCTACCCCCGCCGCCCATCGAATTGTCTGAGAAGTTGATCGGAGAGGGCAGGGTTTAAATTTCGGAGCACAGCGGCGTTGGTTTCTGTAATCGCGTGAATCGTTCAACCTTGAACGATCGGCAACCTTTCGATCGCCAGATCGTTCCATCGTGGCCGACTCCGGGTTATCGTCGGCGTTCAACCTTGAACGCCCGCGGCGGGGTCGTCGCCGCGTCGACACGACACGAACTTACCGCACAAAGGCCTGGAAGCTTCGGTGGCGCGGAACTGGAGTGAGATTAAGGGTCGCGATACCAGGAGGGAGGCCGAAGCTGCGCGAGAGCAACAAAGAGAGGTCCCGCCCCAGGGCGGCATGTGTGATCCAGGGTTGCCTCCCCCCCCCCATATGCCCCTGGGATCGATCCCACGCCCGTGATCCTCGCGACAGCCTCAGGAACGGGATCGCTACCCCCCCCTCTGCGGTCGTGGGCCTGTGTCGGGCGTTGGCAGAACTGGGTTTAGTGGAACCTGGTGTAAGGATTTGTACCGGGGGCGCCCCCCCTGCCGTCACCCGAAAAACACCAATTACGGCAAACCTGGTTTAGTGAATCTGGCCAATTGAGGGGCCCCACGGCCCTACCACTAACCGGGTCCCCTTACCCGGGGTCCTGGCTATACCCTAGTGGGCGTGGCGTGGCGGAGGGTGCACGTTCCGCTGCTCCTGCCGAGAGCTCTCCGAGACCGGGGCCGCAGGGCCTCACGAGTGGCATCGCGGCCCTCCCCGCCCCCCTCTCTGTGGCCGTGGCCCCCTGTGGGCATGGCGTGGTGTCAGGTGCCAGTGCCCGCCCCCCCTCCCCTGTGGCTGGGGGGTGGTTCGTCGTCGTCGTCTTCCGTCGGCATGGGCATCGGCGTCGTCTTCTCCCGTCGGCGTCGGCGTCGGCGTCGTCGTCGTCGTCGTCGTCATCGTCTTCCCCTTCCGTTGTCGTCGGCGTCGGCGTCGGCGTCGGCGTCGGCGTCGTCGCCGTCGTCCTCGTCTTCCCCCCCATCCCATCTGGGGGGGGGGGCTGTGGAACCCTGGGACCCATCCCATCTGGGGGGGGTGGGGGCTGTATCACTCTTCGGTTTGCTTCCACCGGCTGGCGCACATCAGTTCCGAAGAATCGCTGCAATCGCGCCACGAGAAGGTAGCATCCGAAGAGGCGGATGGGGGGAAATCGAGAGGGGCTTTCTCGTCGCGCTCTGGCTGTCTCGCGGTTCTCCCGTGGCTGCCCTGTGCGGCTGTCCCGTGCGAAGACCTCATGGGTGCCCCGTGGCCATGCGAGAACGTTAGAAGCATGACAAGACAGTCAGGAGAAGTGGACGAATTAGAACACCCACAGGCAAGATACGAATTATGGTAGGTGGAACTTTAAGGCGGAGTGATACGAGCTATCGGAGTTGGACGGGTTAGAATGGTCTACTGCTTGTAGTAGTCAGACTAGCTGGAATCCTCCGTTGATTTGTCGAAGCAAAACATTAGAAACGCGGGGCGAGTTGAAGTGTGTGTACGAGTTAGCGGTTGTTTGAATTGCTGGAGAAATGGACAGATTTGGAAGCCTGAGATCATTAACTTATCCCAGTGCGACTCTACCTAGGAGTTGGAGCCCCTAGGAACGCAGCATTAGTAGTAACAGTAAAGCTGAGCTAAAGCTGAGCTAAAGCTGAGCTAAAGCTAAGCTACAGCTAAACTAAAGCTAAGCTAACGCTAAGCTAACGCTAAGCTAAAGCTAAGCCAGGTCAAGCTAAAGCTAAACTAAAGCTAAGCTAAAGCTAAGCTGAAGCTAAACTGAAGCTAAGCTGAAGCTAAGCTAAAGCTAAGCTACAACTAAGTTAAATCAAATATAAAGCTAGGGTAAAGCTAAGGTAAAGCTAAGCTGACGCTAAGATAAAGCTAAGCTAAATCTAAGCTGAAGCTATGCTACAGCTAAGCTAAAGCTAAGCTAACGCTAAGCTAAAGCTAAGCTACAGCTAAGCTAAAGCTTAGCTAAGCTAGGCTAGGCTCAGCTAAGCAAAGCTAAGCTACGACAAGCTCAGCTAAGCTAAGCTAAGCTAGGCTAGTCTAGGCTAAGCTAGGCTAAGCTAAGTTAAGCTAGGCTAAGCTAAGATGAGATAAGCAACGCTGAGCTAAGGGGACGTAACTGGGGGAACCAAGGGGCGGATACTGGGGGAACCGCCCGGGGCGGGTCCCATTGCCCGGCCCTTTAAGCTTACCGAGTAAGAACCCTTCTAGGCAGAGCCTACGTAGGGAAACACTGGGAAGACTTAGTAGTTATAATAGCAAGTATAAGCATTATAAGGGCTCCATTCGGGCAATGGTCAGAACCATTGTGCCATGCATGCGCCTGTAACGGAAATTCAGACCACTTGGAATGGCCAGCACAGCCAGCAACGAATGACGAGCTGGTTCAGTGATCTGGAAGAGTAGAAACAGGCTCAGACAAAGGCGGGGAGTTGTGAACGATAACGTCCAGACCGAACGTTCGCACACTCGCAAGGCCCCCCAGATGGGTTCCGAGTAGATGGGGTCGGGCGATCGCACCGCGTCGCGGGAGCATCGCTGATGCATCGGCGACGTGGGCGATGCATCGGCGCCGTCAGCGTGGAAAACAGCGCGGCGATGCATCGCTGGTTCATCTGTGATGCGGGGCGATCCTCCGACGCCCTCCTCTCGGACCCCGACTGGCAAGCGCGCGAAGCCAACCGCCAACCGAACCTTCGCAACTTCTCGGGATCTCGTCTCCCTCACATCGTCGGCGCGCACAAAGGGGGAAGGCGGAAGTGGCTGGGCCTCTCGGGAGGCTCAGAAGGCCTTCCGCCTTCCGAGAAACCTCCTGAGCCTCCCTCGAAGCCGCGGACGGCTTCTCGGAAGGCGCGAAGGTCTCTGAGAAGCCTCGCCGACCTCTTGGAAGGCCTGCCCCCCCCATCTTGCTCCCCCCCTCGGCGCGCCGCCGAACATCGCAAAACGAACGTTCGCGAATTCTCAGGACCTCTCCCTCGAGATCTCTCTGCTCTTCAGGGTGGCCCTCCGCACACAGCCCGCTGAACTCTTCGGGGCCACAAGCCGTGTGGTGACGGACCGCCTTGTGACCTCGGGATCCCCGACGACCTCACCGCGCGGTCCGTCACCACACGATTCAAGGCTCTGGGCTTGGACACCATGGAGGCCCCAGTCGTCCAAATCACCATCGGAGAACGCCCCGAACCCCACAACCACACGCTGACCCCAGATTCCGCAACATAACGCGGAACTCCGGCGGCCTGTCCGGACGATCTGGGAGGACCCGTAACGCTCTCGGCGAGGCGCAGCTGCTGGAACGCATCCCGAAACAAAAGAAAGCCTCCGGGAACCGACGAAAACGCCCGCAGACCCCGCATCCCCCCTGTCTCACCACGCGGCGTGGTCACTGCGCCGTTTTGGGGGCCCCCGAACGGCGACGGCGACGACGACGCTCCCCGACGGCTCCTCGGTCGGCGCCCCTTCCGGCTGCATGCTCGCGAGCCGGTGCTGCGGGCCGTCGGCCATTGGCCGATCCCCTCCGATCGGCGGCGCGTCCAGCGGGGAAGGCACAGGGCCCCGAGCGGCGAATCGATGTATATATATATATATTATATATGTATATTGTATATATATATATATATATATATATATATATGTATATATATATATATATATAATATATATCATACGCACCTCTCCGAGGGAGTAGAGCTCAGGGGCGATTAATGCGCACGCGTCCGCGATTTTTCTGGGCGTTTCGCTCGGGACATCCTCGAAATTCTGAAAATCGGTGGCACCCCTCACGCAGATCGTGACGTCAGGGTCCAAAAACACATGGGAATTTCAACATTTTAACATAAAACCTTCAAAAACACATGGTAATTTCAATAATTGTGACCCCGATTCTCAGGGAATGACGGTTTCGCTTGAAAAATCCTTCCAAAATCGAGCCCCAGACCCCGCCTCGGAGCCTCCTGGGGGCCTCCTGGAACCTCCTGGGGCCTCCTGGGGCTTTCTGAACCTTCTGGCACCTCAGACCCCGCCTCGGAGCCTCCTGGGGGTGTCCTGAAACCTCCTGGGGCCTCCTGGGGCCTCCTGCGGCCTCCTGGAGCCTCTTGGGGCCTCCTGAAGCCTCCTGGGGTCTCCTGGGGCCTCCCGAGGCCGCCTGGGGCCTCCTGGGGCCTCCTGGGGCCTCAGAACTACATGCACACACAGAGACACAAATCACGCCCAACACATCACACGCTAGACAAACATAACATACACACACACAACACCGACAACACACAAAAAACACGCACCACACAAAGCACACACATCACACACACACAACACTCACAATCCTGGGGCCTCCTGGAGCCTCTTCTGGTATCCAAGTCGGGCCTCCTGAGGCTTCCTGGGGGGTCCTGGTACACACATCGCAAGGTGTGGCGACCCCACTTGCGCTCGAGTGCGACTTCGATGTTGCATTTCACTCCTGCTTCAAACACCCCTTCAGTTATTGTATGAGCCTGGGCACACACGTGCCACGTGTATAAATATATGTATATATAGTTATGTGAATATATATTTACATATATATATATATATATTCAGATTCATATTTATATATGTATATATATATGTATGTATATAAATATATGCTCAGGTCTAGCACTGAGATCTCCAAATATGCTGTTTTTGCTCAAAGGATGCGAGTGCGAACTCAGAAATGCAGTGTCAGTTCAGCAGCGACGCCGAAAAGCTTCTCCTGCTCTCAAGAACAAATCGTCGTCTTGGTGCCAATAGGCCCACTGTGCAGCGCGCGCGCATCCATGCTCTTCTGGGATGAGCCCGCGGCGGATCGCCTGCCCACAAACTTCCGAATATGCTGCCAACACCGATCAATTATCTGGGCCCCACCTTTTGTGTACGTGGTGGACCCATCTATGTCGTGGGCGAAGAGCTGCACGTATTTGGGGCGCAGGAACTTCCCGTCTTTCTTGGGCTTGCGGGTGACGTAATTGTGGATGACGCCATCCAAGGTGTTCTTTCGGTTCAGCCCCAGCTTGTATGAGCGGGCGCCGTCAGTGTGCAAGAGAATCTTGCGCCCCTTCAACCACTTTTTCGCCATGGGGTACCAATCTGATTTCTTGATGGGTCCAGGGCCAGGAGCCCTCCTGCTTGTAAGTTTAGGCATCGTTCGGAAAAGTACCAGGCTGCTTGGTCTGCCCCGCTCGACTATGCCAGCCCACTGGAGCCATCTGAGTTTGTCCTTGGCGTTGTCGGTGACGAACTCTTTGCCCAAGTCGACCTCGTCCGCCTCGACGTCGCGCCACTCCTTCTTGACAGTGTCTCCAAATTTGATGTGTTTCTCTCGGTCGGCAACGTCCTTCGCCAGGGCCGCGTCGAGTCGCTTCGACATCTCGCTGATGAACCAGGCGCTGTCCCCCCAGAGTAAGTGATTCTGCGAGTGAGTCAAGCCCACGATGAGCCCGAATAGGACCCGCACCTGGCTTCGGAGCGGTTTCGAAGTGCGCCCCCAGCCCGCCGTGAAAACGGGGTGCTCGGCATGAGGGAGGATGAATCGCTGACAGCCGCGTTTGGTGCACCTATATGCCCAGGTACCGCTGGCGCGCTGCTGAAGCGGGCCGACCCGCTCCTCGCCGCAATGCGGGCAATGACACTGAGTCCAATTCTTCAGGAAACCATCCCTGGTGAGGCGCGAAATCAAAGCCTTCTCACTGGCCGCCAAGATATCGTTCATATTCGAAGCCCAGGTGGCACGATCTCTGCGAGATCGCGCAGTTATGCCGTGGCGAACATACGGTGTCTTTTTCCATACACTGGACCACTTCTCCTTGCACAACTTCTCCGGGCGAGCATGCATCCTGGCTTCCCCCTTCTTGGGGGTGCAATTGCCCCCTGCGCATGATATAGCCGCGGCGGGTCGCTTTTTGGCTGCTCCTGTAGCGCCGCCCAGAGCATCTGTTGGCGAGGGCGGGGACGGCGGCAATCCCTCGGAGTGGTCTGCAGCGTCGTCGTCATCGTCGCACAGAAGGTTCCCCAGAAGGAGGAACGGTTCGTCAGGAATTTACCGTCTGAGTTATGTAAAACTTCCTCCACGAGCTCAGCATACAGATTCCGTCTGGCAACTCGCTCTCCTCCGAGTCCTTGCCTTAGTCGAACGGCATCGTCAGGAGATCGATGTCGTAGGGGAAGGTCTCCGACGACACATCGCTCATGTCAATGTCGTCGAGACTGGGGTGTTCGCCGCCAATGTCGACGTCGCTGTTCACCGCGTCGCCGTCTGCATCGCCCTCGACGCTCTCGTCGGGTGCCTAGGCAGAGCAAAAATAACTTTTTCTTATTGTTACGAATCAAATTCTATCTGGGCCCCGTCAAACCAGATCACTACACAAAAATCTAATCTCACATTCCCAGATGTCCTGAGCATCGCGCGATTTGGGCCCGCCCCCCCCCCCCCCCCCGCGGGATGAAAATATTGCCTCTACTCTCAAGGCACCCGCTATGCACCCCAAAGGCAGCCGCAAATTGCCCGCGCCAGATTTCAAGACACAACACATCTTCCAAAAGTGTTGCATTTGCAATTGACATCTGAAATTGAGAAAACAACGCTTTGCTCCAAGCGACCCAAGATTTCATTGTCAAGGCACCCGGAAAGCACCCGAAAGGCACCCCAAAGACACCCCCAAATCGGCACTCCAATTTTTTTAGGAAACACATGCCCTCGAAAAGTGCTAAACGTAGCGTTGAAACTTACATATACGACAACGATGTTTTGCGCCAGGCGCCCCAAAATGTCACGCTTGTGCGCTCCACCCCCCGCAGAAATTGTCAAACAAATGCACATAATTTTCCCCTTTTCACATCCTCAAGAAGCCCTCGTGGGCAGCGGTAAGCGCTAGCAATCCCCCCTTTTTCAAAACCTTGGGCAAGCTCCTCTTGGCTCCCTTTGCAAGGCGCCCGAAAGGCACCCCAAAGGCACTCGCAAATCGCCCACGCAAAAATCCTGGAACAACATATCTCCTCGAAGAATACGACATGTGCTATTGAAATGTGCAACTAAGAAATCAACGCTTTTTGGCCCCCCCAAAACGAGCCAAGATTTGCATGGTCAAGGCTTCCCGCAACGCACCCCAAGGCACCGCATGCACCACAAAAGGCAAGCCGCAAAATTTTGCCCGCACCAAATTTCAAGAAACAACACATTCTTCCAAAGGTTGCATTGCAATGGACCATCTGAAATGAGCAAAACAAAACGCTTTGCTCCAAGCGACCCAGGATTTCATTGTCAAGGCACCCGGAAAGCACCCGAAAGGCACCCCAAAGACACCCCCAAATCGGCACTCCAATTTTTTATGAAACGCATACCCTCGAAAAGTGCTAAACGCAGCATTGAAACTTACATATCCGACAACGATGTTTTGCGCCAGGCGCCCCAAAATGTCATGCTTGTGTGCTCCACCCCCCGCAGTAATTGTCAAATAAATGCACATAAGTTCCTCCTTTTTTCACATCCTCAAGAAGCCCTCGTGGGCAGCGGTAAGCGCTAGCAATCCCCCCTTTTTCAAAACCTTGGGCAAGCTCCTCTTGGCTATCTTTTGGCTCCCTCTTGGCTCCCTCTCATTATTCTATTGGCTTCCTTTTGGCTCTGTATCGATGGATTTCTTGTGTACCCATGTTCAAATGGATTCCTTTTGATGCGGATTACAACTGCATTCCTGTTGTGGGGGATTACAATTGGATTCCTGTTGCAACGAATTAAACATTGATTCCTTCTGTGGCGGAATCCAAATGGATTCCTTTTGTGGCGGAATACAAAGGAATTCCTTTTGTGGCGGATTACAAATGGATTCCTTTTGTGGCGAATTACAAATGGATTCCTTTTGTGGCAAGCTCAGCTTGCCAAAACCTTGGTTTTCCTTCGGGTTTGCAGCTTTTTCGCTTGGTTGTCTTAGGATGTCATTTTTTTTTTTTTTGTCTTTTTTGTATTTTCGCTTGCCCGCCCCTGGCGGCGCGAGGGCCGGCGCAGCGCCACGGCGCGATCAAGCGAAAATGCAAAAAAAAAAAAAAAAGGCGAAAAAAGGGGAGGGGGGGGGGGGGAAAAACAATGACCATCTAAGAAAAACAAGCGATAAAAAAGCTCCAAAACCTAGGAAAAAACCATAATTTTTAACGCTGATAGCGCCAAACTGTTGAAAACACATTGTTTTGGCTCATCCGACGTCACGCAACACTGTGTTTTGCAGTCTTTTCCAGCTTTGTTAGCTTGTCCAAAAACTGTGTTTTCCTGCTGTTGCAGCTTTCGTATTACTCTCATCACGATTACTATTTCGGTTATCTTGGTTTTTTTTTTTTTTTTTTTTTTTTTTTTTTTGCATTTTCGCCTGCCCGCCCCCGGCGGCGCGAGGGCCGGCGCAGCGCCGCGGCGCGAACAAGCGAAAATGCAAAAAAAGTAAAAAAAAACTAAAAAAGCAAAGAAAACCAATGACATCCTAAGAAAACCAAGCGGAAAAGCTCCAAAACCTAAGGAAAACCAAAGTTTTGGACGCCTGATAGCCACCAAACCTATGAAAACAGATTGTTTTGGCTCCTCGACGTCACGAAACACTGTGTTTTCACAGGTGTCGTGGTCACCAGCTGTCAAAACCTTGGTGTTCCTTAGGTGTTGCAGCTTTTTCGCATGGTTTTCTTAGGATGGCGTTTTTTTTTTTTTTTTTTTTTTTCTCTTCCAGTTTGCATTTTTTTGCATGTGGCATTTTTCGCATGCCGCCCCTGGCGTTTGGCGGCGCCTTACAAAAACAATGGTAATTCATAAAAAATTTGTCATTCTCAGGGAATGGCGGTTTCGCTTGAAAAATCCTTCCAAAATCGAGCCCCAGACCCCGCCTCGGAGCCTCCTGGGGGCCTCCTGGAACCTCCTGGGCCTCCTGGGGCTTTCTGAACCTTCTGGCACCCCAGACCCCGCCTCGGAGCCTCCTGGGGGTCTCCTGAAACCTCCTGGGGCCTCCTGGGGCCTCCTGCGGCCTCCTGGAGCCTTTTGGGGCCTCCTGAAGCCTCCTGGGGTCTCCTGGGGCCTCCTGAGGCCGCCTGGGGCTTCCTGGAACCTCGTGGGGCTTCAGAACTACATGCACACAGAGACACAAATCACGCCCAACACATCACACGCTAGACAAACATAACACACACACACAACACCTACAACACACAAAAAGCACGCACCACACAAAGCATACATCACACACACACACGCACAACACTCACAATCCTGAGGCCTCCTGGAGCCTCTTCTGGTATCCAAGTCGGGCCTCCTGAGGCTTCCTGGGGGGTCCTGGTACACACATCGCAAGTTGTGGCAACCCCACTTGCGCTCGAGTGCGACTTCGATGTTGCATTTCACTCCTGCTTCAAACGCCCCTTCAGTTTTTTTGTATGAGCCTGGGCACACACGTGCCACTTGTATATATAATATTATATGTATATATATGGTGAGTATATATGTACATACATATATTATATATATATATATATATATATATATATATATATATATATATATTCAGAATCATATATATATATATATGTATATATATGTATGTATATAAATCTATGCTCAGGTCTAGCACTGAGATCTCCAAATATGTTGTTTTTGCTCAAAGGATGCGAGTGCGAACTCAGAAATGCAGTGTCAGTTCAGCAGCGACGCCGAAAAACTTCTCCTGCTCTCAAGAACAAATCGTCGTCTTGGTGCCAATAGGCCCACTGTGCAGCGCGCGCGCATCCATCCTCTTCTGGGATGAGCCCGCGGCGGATCGCCTGCCCACAAACTTCCGAATATGCTGCCAACACCGATCAATTATCTGGGTCCCACCTTTTGTGTACGTGGTGGACCCATCTATGTCGTGGGCGAAGAGCTGCACGTATTTGGGGCGCAGGAACTTCCCGTCTTTCTTGGGCTTGTGGGTGGCGTAATCGTGGATGACGCCATCCAAGGTGTTCTTTCGGTTCAGCCCCAGCTTGTATGAGCGGGCGCCGTCAGTGTGCAAGAGAATCTTGCGCCCCTTCAACCACTTTTTCGCCATGGGGTACCAATCTGATTTCTTGATGGGTTCAGGGCCAGGAGCCCTCCTGCTTGTAAGTTTAGGCTTCGTTCGGAAAAGTACCAAGCTGCTTGGTCTGCCCCGCTCGACTATGCCAGCCCACTGGAGCCATCTGAGTTTGTCCTTGGCGTTGTCGGTGACGAACTCTTTGCCCAAATCGACCTCGTCCGCCTCGACGTCGCGCCACTCCTTCTTGACAATGTCTCCAAATTTGATGCGTTTCTCTCGGTCGGCAACGTCCTTCGCCAGGACCGCGTCGAGTCGCTTCGACATCTCGCTGATGAACCAGGCGCTGTCCCCCCAGAGTAAGTGATTCTGCGAGTGAGTCAAGCCCACGATGAGCCAGAATAGGGCCCGCACCTGGCTTCGGAGCGGTTTCGAAGTGCGCCCCCAGCCCGCCGTGAAAACGGGGTGCTCGGCATGAGGGAGGATGCATCGCTGACAGCCGCGTTTGGTGCACCTATATGCCCAGGTACCGCTGGCGCGCTGCTGAAGCGGGCCGACCCGCTCCTCGCCGCAATGCGGGCAATGACACTGAGCCCAATTCTTCAGGAAACCATCCCTGGTGAGGCGCGAAATCAAAGCCTTCTCACTGGCCGCCAAGATATCGTTCATATTCGAAGCCCAGGTGGCACGATCTCTGCGAGATCGCGCAGTTATGCCGTGGCGAACATACGGTGTCTTTTTCCATACACTGGACCACTTCTCCTTGCACAACTTCTTCGGGCGAGCGTGCATCCTGGCTTTCCCCTTCTTGGGGGTGCAATTGCCCCCTGCGCATGATATGGCCGCGGCGGGTCGCTTTTTGGCTGCTCCTGTAGCGCCGCCCAGAGCATCTGGTGGCGAGGGCGGGGACGGCGGCAATCCCTCGGAGTGGTCTGCAGCGTCGTCGTCATCGTCGCACAGAAGGTCCCCAGAAGGAGGAACGTCTGTCAGAATACCGTCTGAGTATGTAAACTCCTCCACGAGCTTATCCTCAGAATCCTGCTCTGGCAACTCGCCTTCCTCTTCCGAGTCCTTGCCCTCGTCGAACGCATCGTCCAGGAGATCGATGTCGCAGGGGAAGGTCTCCGACGACACATCGCTCATGTCAATGTCGTCGAGACTGGGGTGTTCGCCACCAATGTCGACGTCGCTGTTCACCACGTCGCCGTCTGCGTCGCCCTCGACGCTCTCGTCGGGTGCCTAGGCAGAGCAAAAATAACATTTTCTTATTGTTACGAATCAAATCCTATCTGGGCCCCGTCAAACCATATCACTACACAAAAATCTAATCTCACATTCCCAGATGTCCTGAGCATCGCGCCGATGGCCCGCCCCCCCCCCCCCCCGCGGATGAAAATATTTGCCTCTCCTCGTCAAGCACCGTATGCACCCCAAAGGCAGCCGCAAATTGCCCGCCCCAAGAGGCCAAACAACACATCTTCCAAAGTGGTGGCATTTGCAAATTGACATCTGAAATTGAGAAAACAACGCTTTGCTCCAAGCGACCCAAGATTTCATTGTCAAGGCACCCGGAAAGCACCCGAAAGGCACCCCAAAGACACCCCCAAATCGGCACTCCAATTTTAAGGAAACACATACCCTCGAAAAGTGCTAAACGTAGCGTTGAAACTTACATATACGACAACGATGTTTTGCGCCAGGCGCCCCAAAATGTCATGCTTGCGCGCTCCACCCCCCGCAGAAATTGTCAAACAAATGCGCATAATTCCCCCCTTTTCACATCCTCAAGAAGCCCTCGTGGGCAGCGGTAAGCGCTAGCAATCCCCCCTTTTTCAAAACCTTGGGCAAGCTCCTCTTGGCTCCCTTTGCAAGGCGCCCGAAAGGCACCCCAAAGGCACTCGCAAATCGCCCGCGCAAAAATCCTGGAACAACATATCTCCTCGAAGAATACGACATGTGCTATTGAAATGTGCAACTAAGAAATCAACGCTTTGGTCAAAACGAGCCAATGATTGCATGGTCAAGGCCCCCGCAAAGCACCCGCAAGGCACCCGCTATGCACCCCAAAGGCAGCCGCAAATTGCCCACACCAAATTTCAAGAAACAACAAATCTTCCAAAAGTGTTGCATTTGCAATTGACATCTGAAATTGAGAAAACAACGCTTTGCTCCAAGCGACCCAAGATTTCATTGTCAAGGCACCCGGAAAGCACCCGAAAGGCACCCCAAAGACACCCCCAAATCGGCACTCCAATTTTTTAAGGAAACACATACCCTCGAAAAGTGCTAAACGTAGCGTTGAAACTTACATATACGACAACGATGTTTTGCGCCAGGCGCCCCAAAATGTCATGCTTGTGTGCTCCACCCCCCGCAGAAATTGTCAAAAAATATACATAATTTCCTCCTTTTTCACATCCTCAAGAAGCCCTCGTGGGCAGCGGTAAGCGCTAGCAATCCCCCCTTTTTCAAAACCTTCAGCAAGATCCTCTTGGCTATCTTTTGGCTCCCTCTTGGCTCCCTCTCATTATTCTATTGGCTTCCTTTTGGCTCTGTATCGATGGATTTCTTGTGTACCCATTTTCAAATGGATTCCTTTTGATGCGGATTACAACTGCATTCCTGTTGTGGGGGATTACAATTGGATTCCTGTTGTAACGAATTAAACATTGATTCCTTCTGTGGCGGAATCCAAATGGATTCCTTTTGTGGCGGAATACAAAGGAATTCCTTTTGTGGCGGATTACAAATGGATTCCTTTTGTGGCGAATTACAAATGGATTCCTCTTGTGGCAAGCTCAGCTTGCCAAAACCTTTGTTTTCCTTAGGTTGTGCAGCTTTTTTCGCTTGGTTGTCTTAGGATGTCATTGGTTTTCTCTCTCTCTCTCTCTCTCTCTCTCTCTCTCTCTCTCTCTCTCTTCTCTCTCTCTCTCTCTTCTCTCCTTCTTCTCTCTCTATTTTCTTTTTTTTTTGTTTTTTTTTTTTTGTGTGCTTTTTTGTATTTGTTTGGATTTTCGCTGCCCGCCCTGGTGCGGCGGGAAGGGCCGGCGCAGGCCCACGGGCGCGATTCAAGCGAAATTGCAAAAAAGGCGAAAAAAAGGCTATTATATTATATATATAATTTATATATATATATAATATATATATAAATGGGACATCCTAAGAAAAACCACGCGAACAAATCCCAAAAACCGAAGGAAAACAAAGTTTTGAACGCCTTGATTAGCCGCCAAACCTGTGAAAACACTGTTTTGGCTCATGACGTCACGAAAAACATTGTGTAACATAGTTTCGTGGTCACAGCCTTGTCCCAACCTGGTTTCTTCAGGGTTTGCAGGGCTTTTTTTCGCATGGTTTCTTTAAGATGAGTGGTTTTTTTTTTTTTTTTTTTTTTTTTTTGCACGTTTTGCATTTTCGCTTGCCCGCCCCTGGCGGCGCGGCAGGGCGGCGCAGCGCACGCGCGAACAAGCGAAAATGCAAAAAAAAAAAAAAAAAAAAAAAAAAAAAAACAAAAAACAAAAAAAAAAAAGCAAAGAAAACCAATGACATCCTAAGAAAACCAAGCGGAAAAGCTCCACAACCTAAGGAAAACCAAAGTTTTGGACGCCTGATAGCCACCAAACCTATGAAAACACATTGTTTTGGCTCATCGACGTCACGAAACACTGTGTTTTCAAAGGTGTCGTGGTCACCAGCTGTCAAAACCTTGGTGTTCCTTAGGTTTTGCAGCTTTTTCGCATGGTTGTCTTAGGATGTAGTTTTTTTTTTTTTTTTTTTTTTTTTTTTTTTTTTTTTTTTTTTTTTTTTTTTTTTTTTTTTTTTTTTTTTTTTTTTTTTTTTTTTTTTTTTTTCCAGCATGTTTTGTATTTTTTTGCATTTTCGCCTCCCGCCCGTGGCGTTTGCGGCGGCCTTACAAACACATGGTAATTTCAATCATTGTGACCCCGATTCTCAGGGAATGGCGGTTTCGCTTGAAAAATCATTCCAAAATCGAGCCCCAGATCCCGCCTCGGAGCCTCCTGAGGGCCTCCTGGAACCTCCTGGGGCCTCCTGGGGCTTTATGAACCTTCTGGCACCCCAGACCCCGCCTCGGAGCCTCCTGGGGGTCTCCTGAAACCTCCTGGGGCCTCCTGGGGCTTCCTGCGGCCTCCTGGAGCCTCTTGGGGCCTCCTGAAGCCTCCTGGGGTCTCCTGGGGCCTCCTGAGGCCGCCTGGGGCTTCCTGGGGCCTACTGGGGCTTCAGAACTACATGCACACAGAGACACAAATCACGCCCAACACATCACACGCTAGACAAACATAACACACACACACACAACACCTACAACACACAAAAAGCACGCACCACACAAAGCATACATCACACACACACACACACACACACACACACACACACACACACACACACACACGCACAACACTCACAATCCTGGGGCCTCCTGGAGCCTCTTCTGGTATCCAAGTCGGGCCTCCTGAGGCTTCCTGGGGGGTCCTGGTACACGCATCGCAAGGTGTGGCGACCCCACTTGCGCTCGAGTGCGACTTCGATGTTGCATTTCACTCCTGCTTCAAACACCCCTTCAGTTTTTGTATGAGCCTGGGCACACGTGCCACGTGTATATATATATATGTATATATATATATATATGTGAGTATATATTTACATATATATATATATATATATATATTCAGATTCATATATATATATGTATATATATATGTATGTATATAAATATATGCTCAGGTCTAGCACTGAGATCTCCAAATCTGTTGTTTTTGCTCAAAGGATGCGAGTGCGAACTCAGAAATGCAGTGTCAGTTCAGCAGCGACGCCGAAAAGCTTCTCCTGCTCTCAAGAACAAATCGTCGTCTTGGTGCCAATAGGCCCACTGTGCAGCGCGCGCGCATCCATCCTCTTCTGGGATGAGCCCGCGGCGGATCGCCTGCCCACAAACTTCCGAATATGCTGCCAACACCGATCAATTATCTGGGTCCCACCTTTTGTGTACGTGGTGGACCCATCTATGTCGTGGGCGAAGAGCTGCACGTATTTGGGGCGCAGGAGCTTCCCGTCTTTCTTGGGCTTGTGGGTGACGTAATCGTGGATGACGCCATCCAAGGTGTTCTTTCGGTTCAGCCCCAGCTTGTATGAGCGGGCGCCGTCAGTGTGCAAGAGAATCTTGCGCCCCTTCAACCACTTTTTCGCCATGGGGTACCAATCTGATTTCTTGATGGGTTCAGGGCCAGGAGCCCTCCTGCTTGTAAGTTTAGGCTTCGTTCGGAAAAGTGCCAAGCTGCTTGGTCTGCCCCGCTCGACTATGCCAGCCCACTGGAGCCATCTGAGGTTGTCCTTGGCGTTGTCGGTGACGAACTCTTTGCCCAAGTCGACCTCGTCCGCCTCGGCGTCGCGCCACTCCTTCTTGACAGTGTCTCCAAATTTGATGCGTTTCTCTCGGTCGGCAACGTCCTTCGCCAGGACCGCGTCGAGTCGCTTCGACATCTCGCTGATGAACCAGGCGCTGTCCCCCCAGAATAAGTGATTCTGCGAGTGAGTCAAGCCCACGATGAGCCCGAATAGGACCCGCACCTGGCTTCGGAGCGGTTTCGAAGTGCGCCCCCAGCCCGCCGTGAAAACGGGGTGCTCGGCATGAGGGAGGATGCATCGCTGACAGCCGCGTTTGGTGCACCTATATGCCCAGGTACCGCTGGCGCGCTGCTGAAGCGGGCCGACCCGCTCCTCGCCGCAATGCGGGCAATGACACTGAGTCCAGTTCTTCAGGAAACCACCCCTGGTGAGGCGCGAAATCAAAGCCTTCTCACTGGCCGCCAAGATATCGTTCATATTCGAAGCCCAGGTGGCACGATCTCTGCGAGATCGCGCAGTAATGCCGTGGCGAACATACGGTGTCTTTTTCCATACACTGGACCACTTCTCCTTGCACAACTTCTTCGGGCGAGCATGCATCCTGGCTTTCCCCTTCTTGGGGGTGCAATTGCCCCCTGCGCGTGATATAGCCGCGGCGGGTCGCTTTTTGGCTGCTCCTGTAGCGCCGCCCAGAGCATCTGTTGGCGAGGGCGGGGGCGGCGGCAATCCCTCGGAGTGGTCTGCAGCGCCGTCGTCACCGTCGCACAGAAGGTCCCCAGAAGGAGGAACGTCTGTCAGAATACCGTCTGAGTATGTAAACTCCTCCACGAGCTCATCCTCAGATTCCTGCTCTGGCAACTCGCCTTCCTCTTCCGAGTCCTTGCCCTCGTCGAACGCATCGTCCAGGAGATCGATGTCGTAGGGGAAGGTCTCCGACGACACATCGCTCATGTCAATGTCGTCGAGACTGGGGTGTTCGCCGCCAATGTCGACGTCGCTGTTCACCACGTCGCCGTCTGCATCGCCCTCGACGCTCTCGTCGGGTGCCTAGGCAGAGCAAAAATAACTTTTTCTTATTGTTACGAATCAAATCCTATCTGGGCCCCGTCAAACCATATCACTACACAAAAATCTAATCTCACATTCCCAGATGTCCTGAGCATCGCGCGATTTGGGCCCGCCCCCCCCCCCCCCCCCGCGGGATGAAAATATTGCCTCTACTCTCAAGGCACCCGCTATGCACCCCAAAGGCAGCCGCAAATTGCCCGCACCAAATTTCAAGAAACAACAAATCTTCCAAACGTGTTGCATTTGCAATTGACATCTGAAGTTGAGAAAACAACGCTTTGCTCCAAGCGACCCAAGATTTCATTGTCAAGGCACCCGGAAAGCATCCGAAAGGCACCCCCAAATCGGCACTCCATTTTTTTTAGGAAACACATACCCTCGAAAAGTGCTAAACGCAGCGTTGGAACTTACATATACGACAACGATGTTTTGCGCCAGGCGCCCCAACATGTCACGCTTGCGCGCTCCACCCCCCGCAGAAATTGTCAAACAAATGCACATCATTTCCCCCTTTTCACATCCTCAAGAAGCCCTCGTGGGCAGCGGTAAGCGCTAGCAATCCCCCCTTTTTCAAAACCTTGGGCAAGCTCCTCTTGGCTCCCTTTGCAAGGCGCCCGAAAGGCACCCCAAAGGCACTCGCAAATCGCCCACGCAAAAATCCTGGAACAACATATCTCCTCGAAGAATACGACATGTGCTATTGAAATGTGCGACTAAGAAATCAACGCTTTGGTCAAAACGAGCCAATGATTGCATGGTCAAGGCTCCCGCAAAACACCCCCAAGGCACCCGCTATGCACCCCAAAAGCAGCCGCAAATTGCCCGCACCAAATTTCAAGAAACAACACATCTTCCAAAAGTGTTGCATTTGCAATTGACATCTGAAATTGAGCAAACAACGCTTTGCTCCAAGCGACCCAAGATTTCATTGTCAAGGCACCCGGAAAGCACCCGAAAGGCACCCCAAAGACACCCCCAAATCGGCACTCCAATTTTTTAGGAAACACATACCCTCGAAAAGTGCTAAACGTAGCGTTGAAACTTACATATACGACAACGATGTTTTGCGCCAGGCGCCCCAAAATGTCATGCTCGTGTGCTCCACCCCCCGCAGAAATTGTCAAAAAATACACATAATTTCCCCCTTTTCACATCCTCAAGAAGCCCTCGTGGGCAGCGGTAAGCGCTAGCAATCCCCCCTTTTTCAAAACCTTCAGCAAGATCCTCTTGGCTATCTTTTGGCTCCCTCTTGGCTCCCTCTCATTCTTCTATTGGCTTCCTTTTGGCTCTGTATCGATGGATTTCTTGTGTACCCATTTTCAAATGGATTCCTTTTGATGCGGATTACAACTGCATTCCTGTTGTGGGGGATTACAATTGGATTCCTGTTGTAACGAATTAAACATTGATTCCTTCTGTGGCGGAATCCAAATGGATTCCTTTTGTGGCGGAATACAAAGGAATTCCTTTTGTGGCGGATTACAAATGGATTCCTTTTGTGGCGAATTACAAATGGATTCCTTTTGTGGCAAGCTCAGCTTGCCAAAACCTTGGTTTTCCTTAGGTTTTGCAGCTTTTTCGCTTGGTTGTCTTAGGATGTCATTGGTTTTCTTTGTTTTTTTCGCCTTTTTTTGCCTTTTTTGCATTTTCGCTTGCCCGCCCCTGGCGGCGCGAGGGCCGGCGCAGCGCCACGGCGCGATCAAGCGAAAATGCAAAAAAGGCGAAAAAAGGCAAAAAAAAATAAATAAAAAATAAAAAAATAAAACCAATGACATCCTAAGAAAACCAAGCGAAAAAAGCTCCAAAACCTAAGGGAAACCAAAGTTTTGAACGCCTGATAGCCGCCAAACCTATGAAAACACATTGTTTTGGCTCATCGACGTCACGAAACACTGTGTTTTCACAGGTTTCGTGGTCACCAGCTTGTCCAAAAACCTTGGTTTTCCTTAGGGCTTGCAGCTTTTTCGCATGGTTTTCTTAGGATGTCATTGGTTATCTTTGTTTTTTTTGTGTGTGTTTTTGCAGTTTTTGCATTTTCGCCTGCCCGCCCCTGGCGGCGCGAGGGCCGGCGCAGCGCCACGGCGCGAACAAGCGAAAATGCAAAAAAGGCAAAAAAACAAACTAAAAAAGCAAAGAAAACCAATGACATCCTAAGAAAACCAACGGAAAAGCTCCAAAACCTAAGGAAAACCAAAGTTTTGGACGCCTGATAGCCACCAAACCTATGAAAACACATTGTTTTGGCTCATCGACGTCACGAAACACTGTGTTTTCACAGGTGTCGTGGTCACCAGCTGTCAAAACCTTGGTGTTCCTTAGGTTTTGCAGCTTTTTCGCATGGTTTTCTTAGGATGTCGTTGGTTTTCTTTGTTTTTTTTCAGCATTTTTTGTATTTTTTTGCATTTTCGCCTGCCCGCCCGTGGCGTTTGTGGCGGCCTTACAAAAGAATTCCCTGTGTGGCGGCCTTACAAAAAGGATTTCTTGCGTGGGAGCTTTATGTAAGAAATCCGCTAGAGAACAGAACAACAAAAACATCACGTTGGAGATCTCAGTGCAAGACCTCACCATATATATATTATATATATATATATATATATTATATATATATATGTATATGCATTATATGTATATATATATATATATATATATATATATATACACCTCTTCCTATATTTTTACAAGCCCAGGGGGGGAAAAACCCATCACCACCCGAAAAAAAACTGGACCCCCAGGATCTGGGGTTATCGGGCTCCCTTGGACGTTCTTGGAAAAGGTCACCCGGCTTTCCGGGTCTCCACAAACGCCTTGTCAGCAGACCCAGAGCGATCCGAGGAGTCATCAGAAAGGCTTACGGGAGGCCCCAGGCAGCACAAGAGCGCTCCCAGAGAGACTCCAATTGCGTCAGGACGGCCCTGAAGACCCCCAAGGCACCCCAAAAAGCTTTCCAAGGGGCTTTTAAAGCACAAAATCGTCCCATTTCCTTCGTGAAACTTACAATTTTAGCATATTCGCCTTTCGGATTTCATCAGCTTGCATGACGGTTTCAAAGCCCTCGAGATCGCCTCAAGAGGCCCCAAAAGGCCCCCAAGAAAGCTTCAAGACGGCCGAGCCGGGCCCCACGATCGCCCACGAGAGCCCCAAGACAGCCCCTAATGGAACCAACAGGGCCCCCCAAGGGCTCCCAGCACAGACCCAAAAGGGCCATGGGAGGTCCCCGGAAGTGCCCAAGATGGGTCCAAAGGGGGCTCCAGCGGGCCCAAGCCCCCCAAGACGGCCCAAGAAGGCCCCAGGACGGCCCATGAAGGCGCCAAAACGGCCCACGAGGGCCCCGAAAACACCCCCACGATGTTTCCGAATGCCAACATAAAGACCCCCAAGGCACCCCAAAAAGCTTTCCAAGGGGCCTTCAAAGCACAACATCGTCCCATTCCCTTCGTAAAACTTACAATTTTAGCATATTCGCCTTTCGGATTTCATCAGCTTTCAAGACGGTTTCAAAGCCCCCGAGATCGCCTCAAGACGCCCCAAAAGGCCCCCAAGAAAGCTTCAAGACGGCCGAGCCGGGCCCCACGATCGCCCACGAGAGCCCCAAGACAGCCCATAATGGAACCAAGAGGCCCCCCAAGGGCTCCCAGCACAGACCCAAAAGGGCCATGGGAGGTCCCCGGAAGTGCCCAAGATGGGTCCAAAGGGGGCTCCAGCGGGCCCAAGCTCCCCAAGACGGCCCAAGAAGGCCCCAGGACGGCCCATGAAGGCGCCAAAACGGCCCACGAGGGCCCCGAAAACACCCCCACGATGTTTCCGAATGCCAACATAAAGACCCCCAAGGCACCCCAAAAAGCTTTCCAAGGGGCCTTCAAACCACAAACATCGCCCCATTCCCTTCGTAAAACTTACAATTTTAGCATATTCGCCTTTCGGATTTCATCAGCTTTCAAGACGGTTTCAAAGCCCCCGAGATCGCCTCAAGAGGCCCCAAAAGGCCCCCAAGAAAGCTTCAAGACGGCCGAGCCGGGCCCCACGATCGCCCACGAGAGCCCCAAGACAGCCCATAATGGAACCAAGAGGCCCCCCAAGGGCTCCCAGCACAGACCCAAAAGGGCCATGGGAGGTCCCCGGAAGTGCCCAAGATGGGTCCAAAGGGGGCTCCAGCGGGCCCAAGCTCCCCAAGACGGCCCAAGAAGGCCCCAGGACGGCCCATGAAGGCGCCAAAACGGCCCACGAGGGCCCCAAAAACACCCCCACGATGCTTCCGAATGCCAACATTCATTGATTTTGCTGCTATGACATTTCACATTGTGACCCAGTCATTGAGGGTCTCGTGGCATGCAGCGAAGATGCCCGAAGATGCCCCGT